GGCCCTTTGTCCTTCCTAGATGGCTGCTCAGATTCCTGTCTGCGAGCACCCCAGGCTCAGCTGCTCCATGCTTTAGCCGCCACACCCCCCATCTGGGTAATGGAGTGTTATGAAGCATGTTGGCGGCCATCGATTAGGGCTAAACTCTACGCTCCTTGGGTTGTGTTTCCAAGGATGCTCTGCTAAGATCCACAGCAGAGGTGCATCTCTCTCCTCATTCGATGGCTTGGAATTAAAATGCCACCCAACATTCTCTGCCAAAGAAATGAAGATTTATGGGTCACTGTCAGTATCAACACATGTTAGCCATTATTTGAGTCTCCTTGCTGCTTGGGACTGATTGCTATTTACTTTGAAAGATAAATGTGGTTTTATAATCCATGCAGGTTGCTGGGAGGAATGGGTTTTAAATGCATTTGTTCTTTTTTTTTTTTTTTAAGACAGAGTCTCACTCTGTCACCCAGGCTGGAGTGCAGTAGCATGATCCTGGCTCACTGCAATCTCCTGCTCTAGGTTCGAGCGATTCTCCTGTGTCAGCCTCCCTAGTAGCTGGGATTACAGGCATGTGCCACCGCACCCTGCTAATTTTTGTATTTTTAGTAGAGACAGGGTTTCGCCATGTTGGCCAGGCTGGTCTTAAACTCCTGACTTCAAGTGATCCCCATGCCTCCATCTCCCAAAGTGTTGGGATTATAGGCATGAGCCACCATGCCCAGCCTTGGGTTTTAAATGCATTTGTTTCTTCCCTTGGAGACCTTTCTATTCCACTTCATTCTGCTTTGTCTGGTGGTGTGGGCCCCATCCTGTCCCCACCATCAGATATTCTAATGTCCTCCGAGGCTCTGGAACAAAGACCAGAGGGACCAGCCTGTCCTCTGTCCAGAATCATCAATGTGACAGTATGAAAACACCCTTAGCACCTTAGTAGAAGAATTGCCTATCTTATGGGCTGACACCACTCATATATGATCTGGGGCAAGGATCAAGACCCCTCAAGGAGCTTGCTTGAGGAGCAATAGGTAGTCCCCTCTTTGCCTCTTCTGGTCTTTTGTGTTTCTGCGTGTGGTGTGTAAAGTGAGTCAGGAGCTAAATCAATTAGGTCACTGGTTCTCAAACTTGAGTGTACATCAGAATCCACTGAAGAGCTTTTTAAAACACAGATTGTGGTCCCCACTCTAGAGTTCCTGATTCAATAGGCCTACAGTGGGGCCCAGGAATGTGCATGGTTTTTTGTCCTCCACATTTTTTAATTATACTTTGTGTTCTAGGGTACGTGTGCACAACATGCAGGTTTGTTACATATGTATACATGTGCCATGTTGGTGTGCAGCACCCATTAACTCGTCATTTACATTAGGTATATCTCCTAATGCTATCCCTCGCCCCTTCCCCCACCCCACAACAGGCCCTGGTGTGTGATGTTTCCCTTCCTGTGTCCAAGTGTTCTCATTGTTCAATTCCCACCTATGAGTGAGAATATGCGGTGTTTGGTTTTCTGTTCTTGGGATAGTTTGCTGAGAATGATGGTTTCCAGCTTCATCCATGTCCCTACAAAGGACATGAACTCATCCTTTTTTATGGCTGCATAGTATTCCATGGTGTATATGTGCCACATTTTCTTAATCCAGTCTGTCATTGATGGACATTTGGGTTGGTTCCAAGTCTTTGCTATTGTGAATAGTGCTGCAATAAACATACGTGCGCATGTGTCTTTACAGCAGTATGATTTATAATCCTTTGGGTATATCCCCAGTAATGGGATGGCTGGGTCAAGTGGTATTTCTAGTTCTAGATCCTTGAGGAATCTCCACACTGTTTTCCACAATGGTTGAACTAGTTTACAGTCCCAACAGTGTAAAAGCTTCCTATTTCTCCACATCCTCTCCAGCACCTATTGTTTCCTGACTTTTTAATGATTGCCATTCTAACTGGTGTGAGATGGTATCTCATTGTGTTCTGAGTTGCGTTCTCTATGGCCTAGTAGTAATGAGCCATATTGTCATGGCTGTGCTTATGAATGCTCTTCTTTGAGAAGTGTCTGTTCATCAATCGCTTTGTCCACATATTGTAGTGGTGTTTGGGTTTTTTTATCTTGGGTAAATTTGTTTGAGTTCTTTGTAATCTGAATATTATCCCTTTTGTACGACTATAGACTTGAAAAAATTCTTCTCCCATTTGATTGCACCTGTCACGTTGATGTAAGTTTCTTTTGCTGATGCGAACTCTTTAGTTTAATTAATCCACTTGCAATCTTGGCTTTTGTTGCCATTGCTTTTACATGTTTTAGACAATAGCTTGCCCATGATAATGCCCTGCACACTCGTATTGCTAGGATTTCTTCTAGGTTTTGTGTGGTTCTCTAGTCTAACATTTTAAAGTCTCACCCTCATCTATCCTTGAATTAATTTTTGTATAAGGAGTAAGGAAGGGATCCAGTTTCAGCTCTCTACTTATGGCTAGCCAATTTTCCCAGCACCATTTATTAAATAGGGAATCCTTTCCCCATTTCTTGTTTTTGTCAGGTTGGAATGTGCATTTCTAACGATGTCCCAGGTGATGCTAATTCTGATGCTGGTCCTGCGTCCCACCTGAAGAACTGCCTCCGAACAAGAGGGGGAAGTATTAGAGGCCAATCATGGGAGGGATGAGGCTGCCAGCAGTGTTTGGCACTTGGTAAAAAGAACAGCACTGTCTAAAGGGGAATTTTATTAAGTTTCACTGAACAACATACAATTTAAATCCTTTTCTATGAAATCTTCAGTTAAAGGTCAATTTCCATAAATATGTGGATCTATGTATTTTGGAAATGCATTGAAATGCTACATGGCCTGGGACCACCCAAGCTACCCACTGGTGGTCTGCTAGACCTAGGTACTAGGAAGGTCAAGGTACTGAGCAGGTCACAGTCCCGCCACCGGGATGTTTTGCTAATTTGAGTGAAAGTGGTAAGAAATGCCTGGTATTGATAACACAGCCCACTGTGCTAGTTTATACCAATGGTCCCTAAGCCATTTTCCCTGCAGCACTCAGGGTTTACAGGTAGAACCGGGCCCAGGGCAATAAAGGAGTGCAGTCTAAAGACTCTGAGAGTTTCCTGATGAACACTAGAGGTCTGTGGATGCCAGACAACAACTTTTTCTTTGCTGTGGGACTTCACGTTATAAGTCACAATGAGGCAGTGATTGCGATTTATCAGTGCTGCCTTCCTCCCCCAGAAAACGTACTAGGAAGAATCATGGTTTACTGAAGCCAGGCTACCCTCCCCATTAAAGTCTAGTGGACTGGGCAAGCAGTCAGTTGGGATTCATTAATTGGAGGCCCTGACCCGCACAGGATTGGAAGGCTGTTACTGAGACCCAGGCCTGGAGTGACAGGTAGAGCAGTGGGGTGGAGGAAAGTCAACATATTTGGAGATATGAAAAAGGCAGGTAAGCAAGTGTATTCATTGAGACTTTGGGTCACAAGAATAATAATCCAACCCAAATTAACCTGTGGGGAATTTATTTACTCATGTAACAGAGATGTCCAAATTATAAGCTTCAGGGGCAGCTGGATCTACGACCTTAATAAAGTTACCGTGTCTCTTCATTCGCTCCCTACCCCCTCCCTTCATAACACTTCAGAGTGCCAGATTCCTCAGTCCTTAGAATTCAAACTTCTAGATAAGCCATACTTTATCACATACCTATAGCAATGTTCCAGAAATGATTCCAGCCAGGTGCCCACCCCTGAATACATAGCCACAGGCAGGAGAATGGGATCTCTGATTGGCCTGATTTGGGAACCATCCTATCCACCCCTTGGATAGGATCAGCTTTACCCAAACAGAACTGATCAGGATCCACACGGGAGGGTCACTCCATTGGCGGAGGAAATGCCCACAGACCGTGGAGGACTGGCTGTGAGGCACAAGGATGAAGGGAGGCAAGGGCGGCTCCTGCTTCCACAGGGGCAAGCAGGAGGATGTTTCTGCCCTGCTCACACAGCCCTGGCTGTGCACCTTGGGCCCCGCTCAAAGGTGTGCTATCATAGCTAATCTTCCTGGGAAAAGCAGACCATGTGAGTGTGGGGAAAATCCTGGGCGACGTAACAGACTCATTTGTAGGGCAAAGGGATTTTCAGTTAGTTCTGTAACACACTGGAAGATCAACACAATGCTCAAGCATCATTCCTCCCAGAGGAAGCAGATGGATGAGATAAATAAAACCAGCACTTTCATTGGCATCCTAGGATGCTTGGGGGCCTATTTTCAAGGCTATATTAAATACACATTTCAGTGATGCTTTAGTCTATTCCATAGTGATTCTCAGATTGTGGTCCCCAGGCCAGCAGCATCTCCATCCCCTGGGAATTTGTTTGAAAGACAAATTCTCCATCCCATCCGAGACCTACTGAATCAGAAACTCTGGGAAGGGGCCCGGCAGTCTGTGTTTTAATGCACCCTCTGGGTGATTCTGATACAGGCACCAAAGTTTGAGAATGTCTGCCTATAAATGTATTTGATCCATTCCATCAAGTTCAAAGGGACCACCTACTACAAAAACTAAGGTTCCTGTTCAGGGTTCATTGAGCAGTCTGAATTTAGAAGAGTGTAAACGTCAAACAGTTTTCTATTTCTCCCATCCCTGCCTTCAGCCATGTACTATCAAGTTATATGCTTCTATTCCTTTATAGCATCTTGGGCAGATTCCTTTAACTTTTGGTCAGTTCGATTATTAAAAGTTACTTTGTTTTATTCTAAAGCCTCAGTCTCACATCTGATTTCACATTCTTCCCTTCATCTTGTGAGCCAGACTCGGAGAGGATGGAATCTGCAGTGGGAAGGGGATAGGATAGTTCTGCTCTTTCATTCCTCTTTTCTCTGGAAAACCATGGGGTGGGGTGGGAGGGTGGGGTGAGGCCTGGTCTTGGGACTTCTGCCCCTCATTTTTCAGAGCCCAACCCCTATGGGGCTGGGAGCTGGTAGTGAGGGAACAGCTGGGGGACACAGAGGTCCTCACCTCTTGTGAGTGGTCTGCTCTTGCTCTGGTTCACTGTGGTCCCATCTGCTGCTGGTGGCCTTGGCCTGTGAAGATGGTAGATGTGGTTTTCTGAGGGTCCTATTGGTATAAGCCCAGCCCATTTATCACTGAGAAGCACAGCTGTGGCCCCTTTTGGCTTCTCCAAAGGTTCATGCCCCTCCTACTCTGTCCTCTTGTACAAAGTCTCAGAAATGACTTGGGTCTTCTTCCCCACCTCTGAGGACTGATGGGAGCTGAGCTGTGGGGACCCATCCCCTCAGACACACTACCTCATAGTATTTCTTCTCCCAGCTTGGCTGAGCCTCCTCTATTCAGATGGCTAAAGCAGGCACAACCCCCACATTCCCACACAGCCCCATAAACTCCTATGGATACAGGTCAGTCTCTCTCCAAAACTTCGTCCTCATATCCCCAGCACCAGATGGGACCTAGAATAGCATTTCTGCCTCCTGCAGGCACCCTCATCCTGCATTCTTGGTAAGTGATTCTAATCGATCCCCCAACTTGAACTCAACAGACTCACAATGGGAAGAACAGAACTGCATTATTCGCCCAGCAATTCCTACACTCCCTCTCCCACTTGTCTATCTACATAGGCTGGGGGAAGGCGGTGATGGGAATAAAGACTGCTTCTTTGAGAGCCCTGGAGTTGGAAGAATGTGTCCCCAGTTGCTGGCAAGTCTCATTACAGAATGTGGGTTCCGAACACTGGTGCAGTGGCTCATGCCTGTAATCCCAGCACTCTGGGAGGCCAAGGCAGGTGGATCACTTGACCCCAGGAGGTCAAGACAAACCTGGGCAATATGGTGAAATCCCAATTCTACTAAAAGTAAAAAGAAATCAGCCAGGCCTGATGTAGTCCTAGCTACTGGGGAGGCTGAGGTGGGAGAATTGCTTGAGCCTCGGAGAGTGAGGCCGCAGTGAGCCATGATCATGCAGAGCAAGACCCTGTCTCAAAAAAAAAAAAAAGAAAGAAAGAAAGAAAAAAGAAATGGATAAAATGTGGGTTCCTTAGCACCTGGTGGTTCAGCAGAGGTCCTTGTGCCAGTAAGTCCTATTCACTGCCCTCTCACATTTGCTATTTGCAACATGTCTTCACATATATTATCTCAGTTGACCCCACAGTGATTCTGTAAGGTGTTTAACCTACAAGGAAACAGGCTCAAAGAGGTTAAGTGACAAGCACGAGGCCACACACACAGTGGTGATGGCGAGATGGGAACCCAGCCCAGTGACTTCTGAGCACCTGTTCTCTCCCTGCTGTTTCGTGCAGGTGTCTCAGCCACACTTGTCTTCCAGCTCTGGGTGAACTTGGAGCAAATAACCAGAGAAATAGCTTGTCTCCAAGGCCACAGAGCAGCTGGCAGAGGAGGGTTTGGGGCATGGAATTTCCTTAGGGAAAACACCAACTTGTTCTGGTCAGTCATGCCCAGTCACATGGGTCCCAGCCATCATCTTCCCAGGCCAAGGTCTTATGTTCCCCTGGAACCCCACTGGCTTTACTCCCTTCCTGGGCTGGAGGAAAGGGTGGGGATATAAGTTGGTACTTCCAAAGCAGAAAGCTGGGGTTTGGGGCTGACAGAGCCAACCTTGAGCTTAAGCTTCATGGAGCACCCAGCCCAGGTCAAATGGGGTCAGGGAGCCATCTGTGCCTTCTGGATGGCTCTGTCTGAATGATTCAGTTCTGCCTGTGGTGGGTGGAAGTTCATGGTTTTACTCCCACATGGTAACTACAGTGCACGGCAATTTTCTAGTCAACAGATAGGGTTGGAGCCTCTGCTACACACAAGAGGCTTCTTTCTTCAACTTTAAGACTTCTGATGCTCACAAGATCCTCCCATGCCCTTACCACGTGCAGCGATCACCCCCAGGGCCTGGGATTTGGAGAGATGTATCACCCACCTGGGCTGGGCTATTTTCCCCAGTGAAGATGAAAGCCCTCACCCTCTCACAAAGCCAATCGCTAAATTTTCAAGAATTTTGCAAGCAGATTTTTAAACACAGCCATTATTTTAAAATTACATTATAAAATTTACAATGAAACAAATGTTTAAAATGACAGTAATAAATACTCAAATGTTCTCATTTTACTATTGTCTCTGTCTGTAAGGTTATTTCCATCTGTCGTACTGTGTGGTGGAAACACTATTGAATGCTACACCAAAGTGAATCTCTTCCCAACTCCATTATCAGTAACATCACAATGGGAGCTTAACAGCAGCCATGATGGTTGTATTTATACATGGAAATTGACAAACATTATAGATTAGGGTTTGATGTATTGTTTTGTTGACTGTGTAAAGCAAGGTTCAGCAAACTTTTCTCTATAAAGGGCCAGGCAATAAATATTTTTCCTTTTGTAGGCCGTAGGTCTCTGTTAAAACTACTCAATTCTGCTATCATAGCACAAAAGCAGCCACAGACAATAGATACATGAATGGACCTGGTTGTGTTCCAATAAAACTTTATTCACAAAAACGTGTGGTGTGCCAGATTTATCAGGCCATAGATTACTAGCCCCTCATCTAGACTTAAGAGAGCCACAGAAAAAAATGTTAGTAATGAAGATTAAACTTAGAACTGTCCCGATTGTAACTAGCACAAAACATTAAGGAAATATTCTTCCAATGCTCAAAAACAATGATTTGATTGAGCAAAGAAATCATGTAATTGTTGAATGACTGAAGTTCCAACATGTCTTTATTTCATTTTTGTCTTCTTCATTAATGTAAATAAACCTGTCAGCCAACCTACACTTCTCATTTGCCACCATAGGTTGACTAGTGAGACAAGGGTCCAATAAAAATCAGCAAAAGTATTCCATAAAAATCAATTGCTATTTGGAGTTTACAATAAATACTGTATATTTGATTATTATTTATAAATTGTATAATACTCATCTTGAGAGCAATAAAATGCACAATATATGCATGTATGCATGTATATATAGGAATACATTTTCTTCTAGAGAGCCAGTTGCTGAGTATCTACCAATGCACCACTGCCTGAGGGGTGTCTACATAAAAAGAGACCTAACAGCCCAGAGCAGCACTTGTTTAGGACCCAAGGCATGGTCCAGACCCCAAGGAAGGAAAGGGGGTCAGGGATGGATAGACAATCAGGAGAGTTCTCCAAAGTGGTCTGAGAAGGCTTCGTGGGGGAGAGAGAACCGTAAAGCATGGCAGGACTAAATGACAAATGGAGAATGGCTGCACTTCGGACAGGCACACAGCATGAGCTCAGGAGGGGAGACTGAAGTCAGGGACACCAAGAGAAGAGGGTGAGCATAAGGAAGCAGAATGGAATGAAGTGGGGTCAAATATATATAATGGCATGGAAACATGCTATGAGGTTGAGCCAAAAGAAAAGAAAAAGCAGAATGCAAAATTTTACATTTGCATTAAGGAAAAAATACGTTAGAAGAAAATGCACTTAAATAAATTGCTCTGGGTGATAGGATGATAGCTGATTATGTATTCATCCTCAATGCTTTCCTGTACCTTCCTGTTGTTCGGAAGTTGTATTACTTTGATATTCATGGGGAAAAATAAGCTTTTCCAGTATGCAGGGCAAAAAGCACTGAACCAAACCTGAAGCCATAGCTAAGGACAGCGCACATCTCCCCTGATGCAGCCCAGAGGCCTCTGGAGGGAGGCGCTGGGGAGGTGAGTAGAGACTAGGGGTATCAGTCCTTTCTGGGAGGACTGCAGGAGCACATGGGTAGCCACTGCTAAGGCCTCCTGCCCCCATGGGCCTGAGTAGCCCTGTCCACACTGGGGACCTGCCCCCTACCCCACAGCCTCGGGTAGATGTCTGTTCTCTTTGCAAAGGTCCCCTGCAACCCATCACATTCATAAAGGCAACAAATTGGGGGAAACGAGAGGTCCTCTGTCTTTTTAGGGCTTCACCATTGCCATTTTCCCAACTGAAGAAATATATACACATGTTTAAGTATACTTTACCATGCCTAGAATGGGAAAAATGAGTTATTCTAGAGAACATCTCGCTCAACTCGTTTATTTTACTAATAAAAAAATAGAAACTAAGGAGGCCAAGTGGCATACCCAGGAACACAGAGCTACGTGAGAACTAGGTTTCAGCAGAGATGACACCCAGGGCCGGGCACCTCCTTTGTCACCATGCAGGTATCATCAAACAAGCCCACAACTCAGCACTGGGCGATGTGGGCTGAGCAGCCCTTGGCGTCGAAGACATGATTTTTTTGTTTTGTTTTTTGAGACGGAGTTTCACTCTTGTTGCCCAGAATGGAGTACAAAGGTGCGATCTTGGCTCATCACAACCTCCACCTCCCGGGTTCAAGCATTTCTCCTGCCTCAGCCTCCTGAGTAGCTGGGATTACAGGCATGCACCACCACACCTGGCTAATTTTTGTATTTTTAATAGAGACGGGGTTTCTACACTTTGGTCAGGCTGGTCTCGAACTCCCGACCTCAGGTGATCCGCCCACCTCAGCCTCCCAAAGTGTTGGGATTACAGGTGTGAGCCACCGTGTCCGGCAGACACGATGTATTCTAAGCGCTCCTCAAATTTACCTGTGGACAGCAAGAAGGCTTACAAGGCACCCAGTTTATGATATTCCACTTGGCTTCTTCAGGGCAGAGCTGCGGCAGCAGTACTTTTTTCTCTATGTACCACACCCCCTCAGCATACAAAACCACTTCTGCCCCACCCATTGCTGAATGGGACCTTCAGATGCTATCTTCTCCATAAAGCTTTTCTATGACTCAGGCCATGTCATTTTGTGGTCAATTACTTTCATTATCATTGTGTTTATTCCCCCTAAACCAGCCAGGCAATCCCATTTGGTAATCGAAAGAGCCAGTAGCTCTGGCTTGGTCATTTCCTCCACAAAAACCTGACTGAACTGGATATATGCTGAGGATTTCCATCTTGCACATAAACACTTTTCTGCCTTCCGTGATTCACAAAATTCCCTTTCCACTCTATCCTGGGCCCCATGTCTCCATCCTGCCCCCGATGCTGGCTCTGCAGGCATTTTCTGCATGGCTTTCTGTGTATATGCCGCATGGTTAGTCTTAAATCACGCGCCCCCAGAGTGCAGAGGACATACCAGTTCATACTTTTTCTAATCAGGAATATATGTTGCTAGAGGATTAAGAAATACATTTTCATGAGCTAGACAATAACAAAAATTAAATGGCAAAAGTCCTTGCTGTCCTCAGTAGCTAGAGAGCTTTAAAAATAAATACATAAGCACCTGTTTCCGTTTTTTACTCCTACAGAGGCAGGGAAATTGCTGGAGAGAAAAAAAAAAAATGTAAGCCCATATATTCTGTACTGTGTCCCTTGGAAGAAGAATAAAATTTTAAATGGGGTCATCAGGAAGTGCTTCCTAAATGTGAAGTTCACAAACTGAACTTTGAAGTTTAGCAATGGACTTCCCCTGAGCAAGGTCGGCTTAGGCTATTGTTAGACCAGCAGCTGAGCCTCACCCACCACGTCCTTCTACCTCTTGCAATTAAAGCACAGCCTAGGCAGGTTTTTCTTAAATGGGATTTTTCTTTATGTTGGTGCATATGTTGTTGTTATAATAGCAGGGACGTTGTCCTCATTCCCGGCTCTTTCCTCCAAGTCAAAACATTTAGAATGACACCACCCAAAGAATATGTCTTATTTGAGGCTTTGCCATCTCTAACCCTTCCCACCTCTAACCTTTTCCCATCTTTATCCCCGTTATCTTGGGTGCTTTCGGTTTTTAGAGACCAGCTTTCCACCAGGGTTAAATAACACTCTATGCTTTCTTTCCCCATCAGAAACCAAAGAACCCCCTGTTTCTCAGCTGTTGCTAGCAGAATCTGGTCACCCCTCTGCCCCTCAAAATTACACATCTTATACAACTAGCCCCTGTCCCTGCACCATTCCTGTCCCTTGTCCTTAATGCTGGTTTCCCAGTAGAATAGGAAAAAGGTTTTGCAAAGGGCTTTTTGCCACCATCTCTTTGTTCTTCAGGAGATGATTAAGTTGTGTGTTAAGTGGGAAAAAAGTACATTAGGTCAACCCCAAAATCTGCCATCGATAATATCAGAGTATGTCCATGGCTTTATTATTTTTCTAGTGAAAATTTAAGAAAAAAAGGTGCTAGGTCATAGGATATTGAGAAGGCTATACATCTCCCCATGGCTATAGGTGTAATACATTCCGAGAGGGAGAGATGGTAGCTATGCCTCCTATTTTTTTTAGGTGAGGTATGTATTTTCTAGTTCTGCTGGGACAAAAACAGCTTTCAGTCATTGAAAGCCAAAGGCCCAGTGGACATCAGAAGGAGCTGGCCTCCCTCACTGCAAGACGACCTCTGGGAAGTCTAGTCAAAGCCCAGTGAACCTTTGGCTTTTCCCAGCAAGCAGGAAGTGACATAGACTGTGTCTTTTATAGAGACCTCACTTTGGAGAATGCTTAATGAGGGGCAAATATTCGCTGGTCAGGTTGAATTTTTTTCCTTTGCTAAGCTTGAGTGAAAATCTTCTGGAAAATAGGCTTTTTTTTGTTTGTTTTTTTGAGGTCCCCTAGAGAGCTCACAATAAATACACAAATCAAAACAAAGCTACAAGTACACAAAAAGTCTCAGGCTTGGTCCAGATTTTCAGGAAACCAGTAGTTTCTGGAGGAAGTCCCACCCGCTCCTGAAAACAGAAAAAATAAACAAGAGAGGGTCCACCAGCGAACACGTATTTAGTCTTCTCTGGAGTCATATTAAGCAATTTTTACGTTTATGGAAAACCAAACAGTGCCCCCGCATAGGGCGTGGCCCACACTGGGATGGAAAACCAGCCTTGTGCGCTCTGCACCGTGTTCTGGTGGCTTCCGCAGCTGTCACAGGAAGGAATCCACACCCGTCCCCAAGGACGCCTGCACGGGAACACATGCCCGCTTCATTACCCCTTGGAGGAAGGACAGAGGTATCTGAGGGATTCCCAGCCCTGGGCACTCCTCGCAGCTTCCTCCTTCACAGGCGGGGCCCTGGGAGGCCCTGAGTGGGGCCACTGGCTTCCTACGAGATCAGAACGGCAGCCAGTTGGTGGGTGCAGCAGGCTCACACCCGGCAAGCACGGACCTCTCCCTTTTTCCTAAGAAGGGAAAACAACTCTCAAGGCTCACCCTGGAGGCCCACAGGGAAGGCTGTGTGGGTCCCGTCCTGCAGCTTCCGAGCGCTCGGTGGACACGTCTGAGCACCCCGTAGGGCTCTGCTCTGAAAGTCCTTTCAGCTTCCAGTGAGCACTGCTCCAGCCGATGAACAGACCCAAAACCCTTCCACTCCCGGAGCCTCGGCCCCACCCACCACCTGGCGTCTGTCTTTAAGGATGTTTATAACAGAGTTCTGAAATAAAGTTTTGGCTTCTTCCTGGAGTTCTAACTCTGCAGGAGAGGCAGTCAGGTGGGATTTTGAGGAATTCAGGAAGTAGAGAACAGCTCATGGTGAGAGGAAGGGCTGGCGTGACTTGGAATGTGGATGTGCAACAGGAAAGGTGAAGGCTGGATGGGAGGCAGCGTGGGCACAGTTAAGGTGGGCCCCGGGCCGGGGATGGCCCCCTGACCAGAGAGTAGGCTTCCAAATCTCAGCCTCGTACTGTGTGTCAGACACTCTCCCAAGCCCTTCACTTAGGTAATAGTCACATCTCCCACCCTCACTCTCACCCTGTAAAGGAGCTCTTAGCGTAACACTGCTCTCCACGGCTGGGAACCCCAGGCTCCGATGGGTGACATCACTTGTTCAATGGTCACTCAGCCAGTAAGGGCCAGGCTGGGCTGCAAACTCAATGGCCCACCGCAGAGCTCACACAGGTCCATTTCCTACTCGCTGTGATGTTTTCCAGGGAGAGTTTAGAGAAGCTCTGGGGCTAGGAAAAGAGGGCAGCTGTCGGAGAGGAAAGAGCGAGAATGAGGAGTCGGGAGACCCAGAGCTCAGGAACAGACTTCCTTGGCCTGTGGACTAGTCCAACGGCCTCTTTAGCCCTCCGTTTTCTCATCTGCAAGAGGACAATGGGCCAGCTTGGTGCTTTTCTGAGAGAAAGTGCTAGTGGTTTAGAGCAAAGGAGTTACCCAAACCTGGCATGTAAGAGGGCTTTGTTTGGGGTTGGTCCACAGGATGGTTACAGTGGAAGGAAGAAAGCCACCAAGGCCAACTGGAAGATGTGCAGAAACCCAGAAGTGAGGTGAGGAGGGCAATTTTCAGGTGCAGAGCTTAGAGTGGTCACTGCTGGGAGGGAGAGGTCACGATAAGACCCAAGAAACACTTCAAAGGAAAAACTAACAGCATTTAAAGATTGGCTGCAATAGTGACAATGATAAAAGATAACATTTACTGAAGGCTCTACCAGTTATCCCACCAAGTACTGAACTACCAATCCTCACAGCAGGCCACTGCAGGAATGATCATCATCATTGATCCCACTTTATAGATAAGGAAACTGAAGCTTATAGAGGCAGAGACACTTGCCAAAGCTGGCAGCCCCCGGAGCCAGGATTTGAACACAGTCTCGGTACAGGGCCTATGATTTCTTTGTTTTTGAGACAAAGTCTTGCTCTGTCACCCAGGCTGGAGTGCAGTGGCTCCATCTTGGCTCACTGCAACCTCTGCTTCCCTGGTTCAAGTGATTCTCCTGCCTCCGCCTTCCGATTAGCTGGGATTTCAGGTACGCACCACCACGCCAGGCTAATTTTTTATTTTTTGTGTTTTTAGTAGAGAAGGAGTTTCACCACGTTGGCCAGGCTGGTCTCAAACTCCTGACCTCAAGTGATCTGCCTGCCTCGGCCTCCCAGAGTACTGGGATTACAGGGGTGAGCCACTGCGCCCAGCCACCTATGTTCTTAATCCCTGTGCAACTCTGCCTCCTAGCTGTGTGCAGAAGAAAGGAACAACACTCCCCTCCAGGCCTCTGCCTTTCACACCCATTGGCCGTCTTGGATGCCCTTGTCTCCCCCTGGTTCCGATTCCCTTCAAATTCCAGCTCCTCCTTTAAATTTTCACACCTTACTCTGTGCACCCCTTCACACCTGCCTCGTGCTGTCCCCCCACCCCCACCTCCCACCCCATCCCACTCCCAAAGTTCAAACCTGCTCCTAGAAGTCCTGGAAAGTTTCTCCCTCGTCCTCCGTCCCACCCATCACGCAGTCCGCACTGCATCATCCAAGTTACATGCCAAATGTCTGCACCCCTCTGTGTCCGAGTGAAGCCCGCCTTCCTCTTCGCTTCTGTCATCTGTTTTCCTATTTCTCGCATGTATTACACTGTGTTCATTATGTCTATTGTTGTCTGCTTGTTCATATTTCCACCTTCCCTGTAGGATCGTGTGTGCTTTGAAGGCAGAGAGAGGCTGGGCCGTAGTCTAATCTGTGTGCAACAGATGGCATATAGTGGATGCTGGAGAAATGCTGATGACTGAATTGACATGACTGATTGATTGTATTAAATGAATGACCACAAGAATAAATGAACATCGGGATCCAGGAAAGGTGTCCTTCTGGCAACCCCATTCTGTCCCCCTAAACAGCGTTACATTTAGTGTTTATGATAAAGGCTTTCGGTACCTTTTTGAAGAATTGGTACCACAGGTCCACTTTCTGCCCTGCCCTTAATCCATCCCAGTGGTTTAGACACTCACACATACATTCTCTCTTTCTTTCTCCTTCCCTGACTGGACCCCAGACCAAAGCCAAAGAAATAAATGTTCCCTTCTCCTGCTGTGTTCCCACTTTGACAAATTAATCCTCAGCATGAGAGGAACCAAAGCCAGCACCTCAGAAGTCAGGCTCCTGTCAGCTTGGTTTGCTCACCTGCACACAGCCCTTGACTTCCTCCCCCTGTGTGGGAGGAGCACAGTCCTGACTCAGAGGCCACTCCAGGCAATCCTCTCCTCCCAGGCAATCCTTCAGGGAACCCATTGGCTGAGCTCTGGCCTCCGGGCAGAGGGAGCAGGCCTGCGGAACCCTTTCCAAGACCAGCTGAGCTCTGCTGGTCCGCTGGGCCCTGCCTGCAGAGACAGGTTGGTGGAGTTATTCTCGGTGCTCATTAGCGCTGCACAGGCGTTTGGATTATTCCTTTATCATTAAACGGCCCCCAGAACACTGCAGATTCATCCCTGCTTTTGAAGTCGTAAGAGACTCCAAGAAGTTGATTCCAATCTCTTCTCTCCCAGCATGGACTCCCGCTGGAGCAGCACTGGGGGTGTCTGGGCTGCTAGAGTGACAGTCAAGGACCACTCCCCTGTGAAAGATGATATTATGCTTCTACTGCACACCTGCAAATTGGGATGGTGTTTGCCTCCCAGCCTGACTGCTCTGTTCTCATCTTCCATGGAGGTGGGAGGTGGGAGGGAAACTTATGTGTCATTCACTCCAGGGTCCTGACAGCCACTTGCTCAGAGCACAGGATGTTGGTAGGGCCTGCAGTCTAGGTTCCAGCTCCAGTGAGCTCTGGGACCTCAGGAAAAGGGCTTGACCCCTCAGAACATCTGCAGGAGTCTGTGACCCAGACCACACCAAGCTTTCAGAACCTGTTGTGCTCTTTTACTCTCTCCCACTTCTCTCCACCCTCTCATGCTGTGCTATATCCACAATGCACCAGCCCAGGCTGACTCAACTTCCCGCCCACTGCTCCCCTTTAAGCTACGGCACCCACCCTTTTGCCCCAAACTCCTCTATCCTATCTGAGCCCCTGCAAACAGCCTGGGTCAGTCATGCCCTTCCTCTAACCAGGAAAGAAAGAAAAGAATCCATCAGGTCTTTTCTGTGTCCTGAGATTGCGCAGGTATTCATCCGCTCCGCTCCCATCTCCCTGACTCCTTTCTTGCTCTGTTTCTCAGGGACCTAGGCATTGGGTCCTGGTGAGTTTTCTACTTTTCCATCACTCCCATAGGACCCCTCAACCTGTCTGCTCATCAAAAAAGTCCAATAAAGGGATTCATATCTTTGATACTTAATTTTATAGTACCTCTTGCATAACTCTCAAGTTTGAGATCAATACAAATAAAATCATTTAAATTGTCTGATATTAAACACTTCTGACCCGAAAAGCAAAAAGCCTTTTAACGGATAGTTACATTGATACAAGAGTCACAATGAGAGGTTTCAAAGATGAAAGTAATGGATCAGAAAATAGAACAGGAGAGAAAACACAGATGAAAGGCAAATAACCCCTTTTGAAAAATCCAAAGTTTTCATTTAAAAAATAAAATTGCCCAAAGCACTGTATTGTGTTTAAAAAAAAAAAAAAATCATGATGAAAGGAGAATGTACCTGTCACCCTCCCATCCCCCTCTATACTTATCCCTTTCTATCTTTAGGTGCTGTGGTCTTTGTGGTGACTTTATTGGCTCAAGTTTCCTAGGTTGGTGGTCCCAGAGCCTGGTTTGTGTCTTCTTAGGAGCAGTATTCATAACGCAGGTGCGATGGACACCTGTAGGTGGGTAGTGCCACCTGTGTGAACCAATGTGGCTCCAAAGAGCCTACCTTCCTATCTGCATGGTTAATCCAGTCAAAGCCCAGCCTGCTTTCCCATATAACTAGAGTTCAACAGAGCTTTTCATTAAAGCAACACATCATAACAAATACTTAACTAGTGCAAATAAAGCATTTTATTTAAAGCAAGTTTTAAAGACATATAAACATTAAGCACCAGAGCTCCATTCTTTAGCTGCTATTCATCACAGCCTATGCCAGTCCTTGAGTTCTGTCAAACTTGGGTAGAAGCCAATTTTCTAACTCACCTTCAACTTTCTTGGGATGAGTCCTTCCCGGGTTCCTTGTTTTTCTAGAAATTTCAGTGGCTTGATCACCCATCAAAACATATAGGGCAGCCAGGCGTGGTGACTCACACTTTTAATCCCAGCACTTTGGGAAGCCAAAGCAGGCGGATCACCTGAGGTCAGGGGTTCAAAACCAGCTTGGGCAACATGGTGAAACCCTGTCTCTACTAAAAATACAAAAGTTAGCTGGGTGTGGTGGTGTGCGCCTGTAGTCCCAGCTACTCGGGAGGCTGAGGCAGAAGAATCGCTTGAACCTGGGAGGTGGAGGTTACAGTGAGCCAAGATTGTGCCACTGCACTTCAGCCTGGGCAATGGAGTGACTCTGTCTCAAAATGGAAAAAAAGAAAAAAAAAGAAAAAAAAAAAAAAGGAACACAGCAGAACACATAGGCCTTCTCATCTAAAGTCCAAATAAGAGAATACTATGACTGGTTGGCACTGGAGGAAAGAAAAGCTCTCTCACTGCTCCCTTACTTTTCTGATGTTTTGGGTTTCTATGTCTTATCCCTTCAGGAACCAGGAGAAAAAGAAGATTCTCTGTCACGTGCACCCTACATTGGCCCATGTCACTTCCCTTCTTCCAATCAGAACCAGTCATTTCCCCCACTTGATTGCTTCCCTAATCTTTGAACTTTGAAGCAGGATGTGTTTATCGATTGATGGATATTTACTTATAATTGGTACCTCTTATGAAAGCCAAGCTTTTATATCTGGCTTTTAACACAGACTGTGCTCTTCAATAGTCTTAATGCAGATTGAAGGTTTTTCAAATTCACATTTTTAGAAAAGAGTTCCATTAAATTCCACATGAACAATGGAAAAAGTTTTAAATGGGACATTACAGTCATCAATTAAACACAGATTATAGGGCTGGGAGGAGGAGACAAAGACCAAATGTTCAACCAAGGGCAGAGGTGGGGTGTAGATTACAGATCAGAACCAGAACAGATGGAGTCCCAAGTGGATCCAGGAAGTTGGAGGGAGCAGGTAAAGTACTTGGGTCAGGGATTCACAGGCCTAGGAACTCAGCTAGGGCAGGAAGGCTCAAACAAGGTAAGGGAGCCAAGAAGGTTGGACCCGTCCTGGGAAGATCGAGTCCAAGAGGGCAGTCATCACCAGTCCCACACTAAAAGCATCAAAACTCTCTAATCTCCATCTTCTCTACTCTGTGGTATGTTGTCGAGGTAGGAATAGGTATGCAGGAAACTAGGGAGACAATCATAGCCCTCGACGTCTATCGTTTCTAATTAACACAGGGCAGAGCAGTTTGATCTTTTGGTGGAGATCTAAAATTCCTCTGAAGTTCTATCAAGCCCCATCTCCTGATGATTCAATGCTAGTTCTAAAATAGGAAGACTTACTTCCAAAACCAACAGATGTTTGGGCTGTCATTATGCCTGCACTAAACTCACTTGTGATTTTACTGTGAAGTCCTGTCTGTGTAATTTATTAGGAATCATTTACATAAGATTACGTGGAAAATGTTACTAGTCATGAGGTATCTATCTGTCCATCTCAATGATTTGACTTTTACAGCAATGCAATGGGACATGCTAAGGGACCATTTGGTCAACTTTTCACCTAATGGTGGTACGATTAGAACTCCTAGCGGGTGACTCGGAGAGTGATTAGAAATAAAAAGGTTCTGGAAACTCCCCCACACTCTTTAAGGCAGCCTTTGTCAGGTATCTTAGTTTCGTGAAAGGTGGACTGATGTTTTCCATCTAGTATACAAAACATTTTCGAAGTAGTTATAGGACATTGAACAAGCCATTCAGCTCTCTGGGCCTGTTTTCTCATCTATAAAATAAAAGCCATCAACAGATCACATGATCTCTATGGTTCCTTTATTCTAAGGATGTAGAGTTATTTTAAAGTCTTGGTTAGCCATCTTGACCAAACCAGCATCACAGGTAAGAAACAAGCTACGAAGACCAAAATTCTTCTCTGGTTTATACCCTTTAGGTCAGAGGAAACCACTTTATATGTTGTTTGGGGTACTTTTCCCTAAACACATAATGGCTTTGTCTGCATCAAAGGTCATCTTCTATTTTCCTGCCTATTCATATGACCCCATAAGACCTCCCAGCATCTCAGTCAGCTGAGCATTTTACCTCCTGGAAAGCACATGATTTCCTTCTTCTCTTTGCAGGTCATATGAAATGCTCATATGGTATGTACTGTAATCACTTAGTAAAGTTGCTTTTCACATATCTTCATCCAGAAAATTATCCCAACTGTTATATATACCTTTATTCTAATTTAATAATTCCAGTTTTCAAAACACTTTTCAGACATCCATTGTTTTGTCTGAATCCTCATGACACCCTCATTTTTTATAGATTATTACACAGCATTCCTACTTATATATAATAGTTATAACTTTTTATTCCTAATAAACTTTGGCATGACATTTCATCAGATTCTGATAGTTTCTTTTTTCATTCATTGTATTCCTATCCAAATGTTTACTGACCCTGGGAAATAAATCTGGTGGACCAATGAAGCATGAATCTCAGAGGGTGATTAGAACTAAAAGCTGAAACGGACTTCAGTGATCACCTGTCCCACTCATCCTTGACCATAGGATCTTGTTCACAGTGACCAAAAGGTACACATCTCTCAGGGGCTTCCTGCTTGCGGAGCAGAACCTTTGCTTACAGGCTCCTTGTGTCTGTGAGCTCCTCGGAACCGCTCTTGAGCTCACAATGCCTGATTTGCACATATTGGGTTCCACTCCATGGCTTCTTCTGGTCCCCTCATAGAAGCAATGTTTTCCTTTCTTCAAATCCATCCTTTCCCAGAGAGCTTTGCAGCCACTTTTACTGGATTAATGAGTCAGCTGCAGAGTTTACGATCTGGTAGTAGGCCTTCTAGGAAGCAGCTTTCCTGGGCTTATGTCAGGCTGTTCAAGAGCCTCCTGGCCTCCCTGCAACATTTGCTAGGCTACTTTTTCCTCCTAATTAATGGCTCTACCTTATCAGAGTGGCCCATTCTCAAATGCAGTAAATGAGTCCTTGATGTGCTATGTTTTGTTCTGGAAACTTCCCACGCTGCTCAGACCTGAACTGGGATTTGCTCACTGTTGCACAGTGGTTTGCCCACCAGGTATCCCTTACATCAAATCCTGCCCGTGCTTAGAAAAACCACAGCTAGAAGTTGTTTGGCAAGTCTGGATGTTCACAGGGTTTTCCCACTGAGGGTCAGGGATCGCACAACGGTTGAGAGCTTGAACCCTGGGGTCAGCTGGAACTGCCTCTAACACAAGGACTGCTCTTAACAAGAACTGAGGCTTCCTAAACTTCAGTTTCTGGGTCTGTAAAATAGGACCCACTTCCTATAAATGTTGAGAAGATTAATGGGAATAATGCATGTAAAATGCACAGTACATGATAAAAGGCCAATGATTACTCATTATCCCACTCAATGCTTGGGGAAAGGCAAAGCAGCTAATATTACCCCAGATTGTAGGTAAGAATACTGGGTTCAAAAGAGGTCACATGGCTTACCCTTGTCTATACTGCACCTGCATGAACCATGGACCCAAACCTAAGTCCTAGCCACCTCCCAGACCCTTGCTCTCTCTGCTTCCCCAGCAGTGCCTCTCAGAGCCAAGACCTGTGTCCATGACAGTGATTCCCAAAGTGTGGTCCCCAAACCAGCAGCATCAGCATCACCTGGGAACTTGTTAGACGTGTTAGGGTCTCACCCCAGACCTAATGAATCAGAAACTCTGAGAATGAGGCCCCACAGTCTGGGTTTTATCAAGACCTCCAGAGGATTCTGATGCACAGCCAAGGTTGAGAACCAAGGCTCCATGGACTACTAATTTGCCTTTAGATCAAGCCCTGCCACCTGCTCCTGAGATGGATGGTCCACAAATCTCAATGTGATTCCTAACATGATTTAAGCTGACCAACCCTGTGGCGTTATCAGGGGATTTGTGATTAATACATATTGAGACCGTTTAACCGTGGCAGTGGTTCTCACCCTCAGAAGCTCATTAGAATCATCTAGGGAACTTATAAAGTAACACAAAGGCCCACCCCAGACCAGTTCAGATCTAAAGACAGCCTGGACTGACAACCACAGAACTACAGAGCTGCCACCCACACTCCATGGAACTCTGCTAGGCTAGTAATATTTTTACTTAAGGTTTGTGTGTTTCATAATCCAGTTCCAGTAAACTGGCTCCTTTCCTCCCTGTGAACCTTGGACTCTCTGGCTGGCCCAGCCTCCACACCTCATGCCCACTTGTTTGCACAGCTACTAACGGTCATGAAGTTTTTACTTAATGTACCTAAGCTCCACTGCCCAGAGCTATCCTGCTTGATCTGAAAACGTCATGATGAGATACGGTAAGCATTAAACATTAGTCCACCACAGTTGTTTTTCTTCTAGTAATTTAAAGGGCTTCAGGGAACACTTTGTGTGTGTGTGTGTGCACACGCGCCTTGAGAGACTGGATCTCACTCTGTTGCCTGCGCTGGAGTACAGTGGCGTGATCCTAGTCTACTGTAACATTGAACTCCTGGCCCAAGTAATCTTCCTGCCTCAGCCTCCCAAAGCACTGGGATCACAGGCATGAGCCACCATACCCACCCTAAGGAATATAGTTTTATGAGCATGTTGGCGTATTCAGAATTCTCAGCTCAGCTCTTGGCCCACTTGGGTCTCAACCATTTAGAGTACTGATTACCAAAGGAAGAGCACAGTGTCAGCTTTTCTCCTTTTCCTCAACATGGGAGAGGGGATTTGGCTTGGGCTCAAAGCCATAGTGATGCTTTCTGCTCCAACCCCTTTAAATTGAAGATCACCAACTTCCCAAAAAGAGGCCACCCTCATTTTCCAACTTGGCTCAGGCAGGGAGGCTGAGAAGCTTGGGGCTGCCCATTCACCCAGTCACCAGGCAGATGGACAGATGAGAGAACTGGGACCTTAAGGCCTGCCCTCAGAAGGCCTGGCACCAGGCTTTACAGCCCAGAGCAGAGAAAGACTGTGGCTGTTGCAAAACTCCTTGAGTGAAGTGACCCTGCCTTCTACTAAAAACATGGCCCAGTGGATTCCAGTTATTAACAAAGCTCATTGAGAAGAAGCAAGAAAGGGATGGAGCAA